ATTCAAATATCTCTTAAATAATTTAAACAACTAGAAGGATTTATAAGAATTTCAAATCTTTCGTCAAATCTTTCGATCCATGCCAGCCTTACAGTCTCTCATGAATCATGATGAGCAAGGAAATTGTGGAAGAATCACAATTTGATTTCCATATCATTGAATTTATAGCCACGAATTTCGTAATTCATCAATTGCGCTGTTATATCCTCCCCCCAAGAGAATACCAAAAGAAAAAGAAGAAAAATATTTGTTCGGCTGCTAATTTTTATACAACGGGGTCTCTTTCAAGCTAAAGCTCTTTATCAATGCCCAAAAATGAAAAAAAAAAAAGGGTTAATTTTAGAAAGATACAGTCGTCTGAAAGCTTAATTTTGTCATGTTAGAGACAGCACTTGGATGTAACTAATAATCTGCAGCTCCATTTTCGAGAGTGAAAACACAACGAAATTGAAATTGAGGAAAATTCAAATCCCTTTTTTTTAAAAAAAAAAAGAAAAAGAATCCCAAGACCTTGGTTAGGTTCTTAGGTTTGCCTTTCTCATAGAGTAATTATAATAGAAACGTTATCGTAGTTTACATCTGCAAAGAGACGGCAAATCAAACAGGAAAAATAAAAGTCTGAGCACCTTCTAATATGTACCAACACCGTATTTGTGGGTAGAGGATGAACACAAATATGAACCTCATCTTCCGTAACAGTAGTGGAATCCAGTTGCTGCAGTATTCAGAAGATTAGACTCATCTTCGTCACTCTCTCTCTCTCTACCCAGTTATCTGTCAGTTCACAATCATTGTGAAATAATCAAAAGGTTCATAACTGCGTCATTTTGTTTATGATGAATAGATAAGCATATATGAAAATCAACTCTGTCTAAGAATGTCTCATCATTCAGTTTGCACAAAACATTTAGTCAATTTAGTCAATGAGAATAATCATAACCCAAATTCAGTCAATTTAGTTTGAATTTGTGTATAACCAAAAGAGATGATGATGTACATTTATGAATTTGATCTCAAATGTAATTTTAAAATTATGTCTATTAATGCATGATTAGGATTGAAAAATGAATCAGATTATTCGATACTCGAATTGAGTTTGATTTGATAAGAACTCGTTCAAATTTTAGTAGCCAACTAGTCAAGATAAATTTGAACAGCATTTTATATTCTATAACATTTAAATTTGATAAAAAAAAATTCGTTTAAATTCGATTTAACAAATCAACAAGTCAAATTTAAACAAAATTTCAAACTCGTTAAAATAATCAAACAAATATAAACACTAGAGTATTCAGATTGATTAGGTTGTTTACACCCCTATGCATAATAGAGGGAAGTTTTCTCCATTAAAATGCCGAGTGCCCAAGCCAACTACATGTCCAAAAAAAAAAACAAATTGAGATCACCTAAATTAAAAAGAAAAAAGGGAATCGCGGACTGTTTCATCTGGAAGTGGAGAAACCTTTACGTCAATTTGAGTTAACGGGGCACATATGCTTGACTACTTTTGAGAAATTTATTCCTGATATTGTGATTTTTTTTTCACTTACGCGCAAATAACACACACACAAACTAATAAATACACACGCACGAGCAATTAACGAAAGAATGCCCGAAAGTAGTGGAAGGGGGACCCACTAAGAATCCACGTTTATCCAATTGGTGACAAAACGAGATCCCTATGGACCTTATACCCAGAGTAAAGACCCCATGATTTTTTGATGTGGGATGGTTGCCCAACCCCCTGCCCGTGCACACACACTCACCAGCCAATGGGTTAGTATTTTTTCCCTTACGGCAAATAACACATATATGCAAACTAATAAATACACACGCACAAGTAGTTAACGAAGAACGGCTTGAAAGCAGTAGAAAGGGGATCCACTAAGAACCTACGTTCAGCCAATTGGTGAGATCTTGTACCCAAAGATACATACTCCTCATGTTGAAGAAACGGTACGGCAGATCACTATTAATTGTGCAGCTATTAGCCTATTACCTCAAAAAAAGAATCTCCATTTTGTGCGATAATTTTAATTGAGGGGGTTCCGTTCCAAGTCTAAAAATACTTTTTTATCTTTGAAAAATGGTTACTGTCTAAAATCATATTCTAAATTCTAATACAGTCCTTAATGGATAATATAGAAATGGAGTTGTCTGAAAGGCTAGCTAATTTATATAGTCTGTATCAGTATTATTGTGGGTGAGAACAAGGACAAAGCTCCTTGCATGTAAAGATAAATTTCAATCGTTATCTCCACCACATCAGCTGCTAAGATTTGTTACTGAAAACCCTTTTTAAATTTATCGAGTGTTTTCTCGCCGGCGTGAAAATAAATAGGCTGCTGATTTCTGGTAAAAAGTCGAGTAGTTAATGTCTAAATTACTACTAACTTTTTTAACTATTGGATGACAACCCATCACTAAGCAGAAATTAATCCTTCACAATAAATCTAGGAGCGCTTTTACAGGTGCACCCTCCACGATTTTAAGAATCGTATTAACCTTTTTCCTCATTTCTCACCAAAATTCGCGTACAATTCTAATGGATTCTACAATTAATGGAAGCGACTGTGGATAGGTTTAATTGGCATAATGGAAGAGACTGTATGATGTGTTTTTTCTTTTTCCTTCTTTTGAAACAGTTTAGTTTCTACTGAATTGATGGGTAAGGCCTCGTCGACCTCTATGGGGGTCTAATACCACTGTATAGTGGTCCAACTCCTTTTGTTCCTCGCTATAATAGTTTTGGTTTTTTTTTTTTACTCAGTTTAACAAGAATTATTTAATTTTATTGAAAGAGTAAATCTAGTTTACTATTTTTCTAAAATACATTTACATTAATATTAAGAGTGTGACTAATCACTATAGCTTTATATTAATTACAACAATAGTATTATAAAAACTTGTATCATTCAAACCATGAATCCAAGCAATTATTGAATAAAGTAGGTTATATTAACTTATAACAAAGTACATTAATATTTTAGAAAAATTACAAATTAATTATATTTTTCAATTGAAAAGTAAATTATAATTTAAAATAAATAAAAAAGGAAAGCAAGAATGTCAAAATAGGTTAGAAGAAGTATTAATTATGACTCCCGTTTTGTTGAATCTAACCCACAATAGTTAACATTTCTTGACCGTGTAATTAAATGTACTTTTCATATGCATGGTTAAATCGAACTGATTAATACTGGCGAAGTAAGAGTGGTAACATCCTGCATTAGCAATATTTACAATAAAACTGTCACTAATGTTTGAGACCTCAATCTTCACGCACCTCTCCCGTAGGAAAAACTAGCAAGCACAAAGTACCAAAGAAGAATAGAAGATAGAAGAAAAGGCAAAAACTATTAGCAGTTCTACCATTGCATATCATCACAAGCTATTTAATTCTGACGATCTGGCTCCACTTTTTGAGATTCATCATCCCCATTCATACTTTTTTGCAGTTGGGAAGGATACTGACCTGCAACAACATATTAATTACATGTCCTCTACCTATAGCTACAGTTGTGGTCTGTCGAGTTGACACTTTTTTCACTTTTATTAAGGAGTAGCTTTTAGCTCATTACTTGTTCTTTTTCAATTGAGTTCTAATCAACGCTGAAACTGAGTGGAATTTGAGATAAACACTAGCATACTGCTTTTTTTACTCGAAAAAAAGAATGAATCAAGTTATCAAATGCAACCAAATGACCGATGTTAGATCGATGAATATCCAATCTCTCAAGTTTTAGCTTGAGCACTACTACTTTGCAGTGATTGACAAAAGATTGACACTGGACTTCACATCTGTCTTTTTAACTCTAAATTTGGTCGTATTCGCACAGTCAAAGCATTCTGTGTTCGAGGTTAAGGCATAAGCAAATTCCCATGCACAGCAACGAAAAGGGAAATATAGCTGGTTTGTTAATGAGTATGAAAAAGCAGTTGCTATGTTGTTGCTACCTTCACCAGTTAGTGCAACCACGTTAATATGGTCCTTTTTTATTCTTGAACTTTAGATATTTGGCTCACTTCTCAACCACCAAAAAGTAGGACCGAATTTATTGGAGGAGAAGGGCAGCTGAACAAGTACTTTCTGATCTATATGTATATGGGAGACATATGAGTTTTCTCATTCTGACCCTTTTCAGTTTTCAAGAGTAGCGTTCTAGCTAAGCCAAAAGTATATGAACTAGCCATGGAGAATGCTTTTCCGAAAGGTTTGGTATGCTGAACTTGAAGATGCTTTCCTGACGAATTAAAACTACAACAACAGTCAGTTCATAGAAGTATCACCAAAGCAAATTGAACCCAACGACGGCCAAGATGATCAATCGTCAAGTGGTGCAAGAGCAAACAAGAATAGTAAATGCATGCCCCCTTATTCATGTGTGTTGAAAGTTGGAAACTCATTGCCCACTTGTGGCCAAACTACTTCAATTGAATGTGTCAAATTGTGACAAATAAGGGATCATTGATGACAGAAAGTTCGAATACATACTATTATTGATTATAAAAATTCCATACCTATTGCTGAACCCATCAATGGGTATCTAGATCCTATTTTGCAAGACTTTTCTTGGAATAGTTTATAACAGGCACTGAAAATTACTGCAACTAATACTCCTTAGTCAAGGAGGCATGTGCTTGTAGCATATCTTTTCTGAATTTTCTATGCTCCCCACTTTATAGTTACCGTATTACTGAAAAGATAAAGACGTAAAGCAAATATAAGTGCTAATGAAAAACATAGAGGAGAAGTAACTAAAATGCACTAGTGAATCGTGGACAAATAAATTCTGAGCCACTCAAGCACGAGAAATCAAATTGTAGGGTTTGTATCACCTGTCACTTGTGAATAAGCCACGCTTCTTGCTACAATTATTTTTAAGTGACATTAATATTGAGTATTGACAGCTTTGTAAAGCAAGTCCTCATGGATAGCCTCTATGCCACTAGACAGTGGACTTTGCTAGAAGTTGACTGGGTCGCTATAAATAGCGCAACAGGCTCAATTATAAGTTACAAACTAGCAAATGAAACATATAGCTGATTGAGTAGATGGCTGCAGATGCTGGAAATGTATACGTTAACATGGAAGAAGAAAGCCATGCTGCCGGAAATAGAATACAACCTATGTCTATTGCTCCCGCGTAAGTATCTCATAACTTCACCACCACTGCTACTTGCACTTAAATAATTTGTCTGTTCTCCATTTTTAGTTTTTGTCAGTTTTATTCGAAATCTCCTGACTTCTTGCACGAATTTGCAACATACTTTTTTGCAGACCAGCACAGTGGACTGCTGATGAAAAGAAACAATCATCTTTCAGCCTGAGCGAAAGGCTAGGCTTGGACGAGTTTCTCTCCTTAAATGTTAGTGAAAATCTTTCAACGGACAGACCCGTTTTGCAGTTCAAGCTGCGTTCATTAGGATTGGAATTGTGTAACACGAGGCTTTATTTCTTTTGCTCGTATCTTGATCAAATTTCACGTTGGGTTGATATATAACTTTGATGCAGGTCTGGAGAGCATCTGTAGGGGAACTTCTTGGCTCAGCCGTTTTGGTCTTCATGATTGACACCATAGTCATATCAACCATCGAGACAGATGTGAAAATGCCAAACCTGATTTTATCAATTCTCGTGGCCATTATCATTGCGATTCTTCTACTAGCCGTGCATCCAGTTTCTGGAGGCCACATAAACCCCATCATCTCATTCTCCGCGGCATTAGTCGGGCTTATATCAATGTCGCGCGCCATAATCTATATCATCGCTCAATGTGCGGGCGGCGTGCTAGGGGCACTAGCACTTAAAGCGGTGGTTAGCAGTAACATCGAAAGAACCTTCTCACTGGGAGGTTGCACCCTCACCGTAATAGCACCGGGTCCCCAAGGGCCAGTGACAATAGGCCTGGAGACTGCCCAGGCGTTTTGGCTGGAGGTCTTTTGTAGCTTCGTGTTCTTGTTCGCTTCAGTCTGGATGGCATACGACCATCGTCAGAGAAACTCCATTGGCCTGATTCCTGTTTTCTCAATCATCGGAATCGTGCTGGGTCTTCTGGTGTTTGTATCGACGACAGTCACTGCTACTAAGGGTTATGCGGGCGCAGGGATGAACCCTGCTAGGTGTTTCGGCGCAGCAGTTGTTAGAGGAGGCCACCTGTGGGAGGAGCACTGGATATTCTGGGCAGGGCCTGCTGTAGCTTGTTTTGCATTCTACGTTTACACGCGGATCATTCCTAATAATCATTTTCATGCAGAAGGGTTCAAGCATGATTTCTTTGGCATCCTAAGGACTATTAGCAGGCTGGAACGTTAAACATGGTAGAAATTTACCAGGATGGAGTTGTTGCCTTAGCCTATAGCTAAAAAGGGGAAGACGATGTATGATACTTTCCTATATATACGTGATTGTGATCGGTGATCATATTCGTACTAACAAGCTAGACTTTCTGTATTTCGATGGAGAATGTCTTCTATGATAGTAAACCCTTGTATGGTATTTACTTCCAATCGTGTCAAGTGTAAACGGATGTTGTTCCCAAGGGAACAGATTATGAATGTCAAACTTCCTATCCCGTCGGGTGTAAACTGATGCTGTTCCCAAGAGAACAGATTATGAATGTCAACTATTGAGGTGTGGATGTAAATGTTGCCATGCCTGCCGAAATTGTTGAGCATTAAGTTCAAAATTTTTAATACGCGACCGCTGGCGCCTCAATAATTAGTTGCATGTCTGATGTCTAAATTTCATCTTCTTGTTAACGATCGCCCTTGCATTTTGCCTTCACCTTTTTCGTCTTTCGGGTTGAGATTTGAGAAGAAAGAAATCAGGAAGGTTCCAAGGCCCACCACAAGACTAGAATACAATATCACAGATCGTCTGCATGCAAATGAGAAATTGAGAATAGGCCGTCTGAATAATCGGGCCGACTCAGTCATCAACACTTCCAAGTGGCCTTTTTGATGTGCAAGTCAATTTGGGAGTTTATATATATTCAACAATCGCATTTATGAGTTTACCAATTAGGAAAATCAGAAATACAACAATTATAAGTTTATCGTATTTGGGAATTGAGAATTTCAACTTGCATGAGTTTATCCTTTCGAAAAATTTCGAAATTTAACGCGTACTGATTCTCGTTAAATGTTACGAAACCCAACACATTTAACAACCGGGACATTAACCAAATAGCTTTAAGATCCCTGATTTAACAAACCCAATACATTTAATGTATATATATGCTAAAAAGGTGATTGAAAAATATATTTACGAAAAATATAAAAAAAAATTTTGGATAAAAATTACATTCCAAATAAGGTCCAGCGCTGCGGTTGGCGTCTGCTCTAGCTCACCATCCATCACCATAATTGCAGGGGGCCATTCGGGTTGAAAGTTGAAACACTTTTGAGGTCCTTTATATCGTTAACTCCTTGTCGATATTGCTTCGTGTTTAAGCTGCGTCTTACCCTCTTCTATGGGAATCCCAAAAGTGTCAAGTCATTAATTGATTGCTTAATCATCAATTATTCAGCTGTGCTATGCGTCCTTGTATTTGTATCAACCACAGTCCGCCCACAATCACAATCGAAAGGCGCAACGGATCTCGTCGTATATTACTCAGTTAATAATTATTAAATTTTTAAAAAAATAAAAAATTAAATTATGATATTTATAAAGGAGAAATAACTTATTAAGGCTTGGCATAATTGGTAAATAATTAGGGGTGAGTCCCCACCCACTGACGGAAATGTACATTTTAGGTCAATCATTTTTTGATCATTACTCTTGTGTATTAGCGTACCTTGGAAGACGATTGCAGATCCGTCTCGCCCTTCTTATCATTTATTTTTTAAAAGCTAATTATATTAATTTATTTTTGTATTTCACATGTTCATCTTAAATTCATCATTGATTGTTCTCAAAAGAATTCTCATGCCCTGAAACAAACATCCAAAGGAATAAAAGAAAAAGGGAAAAAAAATAAAAGATTCCAAAATCAATAAAAACTATAATAAGCATAATCCCTTTCATTTATTATACATCTATTAAACTCTTTTCTCAAAAAAAAAAAAAAAAGAAGATGATGATGATCTCTACAAATGAATATTATAAACAAATTATAATCTTTCGTATTTGGATTGTAATTTGCTCAATAAAGTTAATTAGTTAACTCATAAAATAATATTTTTTGTACATATATAAAAATATATATATATATATATATATGCAAGGCTCGACCCTTTTTTGATCCGATCAAAAGATTATCTAATCTTTAGAAATGGATTGGTACGGATTCCACCATCAATGGGTTAACAGATTTTTGGCCCTAACCTAATCGGCATACCCTAACCTAATCGGTAAAATTGGTTTAATAACACGATACGAGCCCATTCAACCGTTCTAAAGTTCAAAGTCTTTCAACACACACACACGCACGCACAAGGCCTGCGCACACAAAACAAGAATAAATAGCATGACAATGACCCAACCAAAAAAAGAAAAGGAAAGGAAAAGAGGAATGAAATGAAATGCTCTTCAAATTTTCTAAATTCTTTCTTATTGGATAATAAGCCAGTACTCGAATATTTCTTCTCATGACGATCGAATATTTCAATTCTGGTCATAGGGTCGGACTAGAACATCAAATCTCTGAAGAGAAAGATTGTCATATTGTAGTTGGCCTGGAAACAAGAACAACTTGTTTTGGCATTGTAAATTTGCACCTCATCCAGATTCTGTATAGAGAACGAAATCATCTACGTAGCTTAAAATTCATCTGTGTTCAATTTTAGTCGTTAAAAGTTACAAGGACTATTATTCCTGCTTTCTTCATAATTCAACAGGTCATATTTGTCAACAGCATTATGAAGAAGGAGCTTCCAAAAGCGTGGAGGAGGACGCAAGCGGCACATGCAGGGCAGAGTTTGTGGTCCTTTTGTGGAAACAGATATTGGATTGCCTTCCAGTTGCAGCATGGTACTCCCAAGTATTTCAGTCAGAAGCTTCTTAAACTCATCTTCTTTAACCAACTTCCTGTCATCCGCATCTAACTTCTTGAAAGCTTCATTTATGATTTTGTCGATCTGCAGAGATTAGCTAAAGCGTTTGGTAAGATGAGCTTAAGACCGGAGAACCTCTAATCAGCCTGAAAAGTACCCAGTTCGAGGTGAAACTGCACCAGGCTTGAGGACTGTTCCTTTTACACATTAAGCCAAATGCAGATTCTATAAATAGGTCAGAAAGCTAATCGATTAACTTGTACATAGCTATTTCTTCAATTATCCCTTACTATGATTTCCCAATTGGAACGGCAAGTCTCATCTCATAATAAGTAGTAAAAATGAGCTAACCTCGAAAGACTGATTACCTGATCAACAGCACCCAGTGGGCCTAAGCCAGATGATGGGACCAGAACATCCAGAGCAACACGCAGATTTGTTTTGACAATTTTCCACTGCGATCTCTTGGAATCAAGGCTTGCCATATCGGCTGCAACAACTTGGCCGAGTCATGACCGGAACGGGGCTAACAATATGATACCGTTACCCGCATCGCCTCTGAAACTAAGTCGGATACATATCGCGGAGAACTCTGCGATATGCAATAATATGATACAGAATCGTCGAATAGTGGCGAGAACTTGGCGATATCTACTGTTATGAATCGGAAACAAGAGAAAGGAAAATTTCAAGACACAAACCTATAGCTAAATACTAAAGCTTTCCCACCCCTGTGACATGAAACAAAACAAAATGAAATGTCACGCAAAAGGACGTTCATAGAGCTTCTGGAAAGTTTTTATTCCTGCAACTTCAGCCGATGAATGCATCACATTTCACGTACATATCAATCAAGGAAGTCCCGAAATGTATATGAAAATCTAAACCAGTTCCGGTGCTCATCCGATGAACGCACTTTCCCAGCCAAAACATGATAACTCTGCATGCACAAGACTAATAAAAGAAAACAAACAGTATCCAAAGCAAATTTGATAGGTATGTAAAAAGAATAAAAATATGTTCTTACTATATTTGATAGAATTCAAAAGTTATACATAATTCATGAATTTTAATATTTTCGTGACATTTATTATTGTTGTTTTTTTATTTTAGAAAATTGAGATCAATCACCTAGGCATTTCTGTTGATCAATGTAGGTGAAAATGCTTATTGAGAATATGGTGAAAATGCTTGCTTCTTTATGTCTTTATATTTTATAACCTTATTTGATAGGTATTTGTTTCTTTTGCTCTATTGAAGTAAACACTGCTACTTTCTTTATGTATTGGGATTCTCATTGTGTTATTTAAGATATGATGGTTTTACTCTTATATTTAATTTTTGATGTCATACAAAATAGGATTAGAAGACACACTTGATGCTAAAATCTTTTACTACTAATGCTATAGGTTTATGGTAATGGCAGCATTACTTTATTTAAATAATTAGTAACTATATATGATAATGTAGATATTTAGTAAACTTAATTTGATAATTGTGTTTGTTATCCTATTTTTTATTTTTAGTAATTTTTTTTAGAATTTTTAATGCTGCGACGAATGTGAAACAATCACGACCGCGAGGTGATCATGATGGGCGACAGGGAACCATGCTTGGAATAGTTTGTAAGGAAGTATCCAGAGCCTGTTGAGGAACAAATTGGTGCACCTCAATGTCCAAGCACAATGTATGAAATCATTTCAACACATTCAAAAGACTTGCCATATAATTTATTTCTTCTTAGATAAGTTGGACAAACTTGAGACGAAGATGATAAAGATACCAATATTTGCACGGGCCCATAGCTAAATTAGAATCCACTAGAAAAGAGTTATCACTAATAACGTGCACAGAAGACAGAATAAGTTGGATGCCACTGTTCTTAATTTACCACCAGCAGAAATTATTGGTGTGTTTGGACAGGAAATTATTTGCCCAAATATATTTATTTACATTATTATTACAATTTTCATTACACCTTTTTATCTCACATACATCACATCACAAAAAGTGCTGCAGTAAAAATATCTCAATATTAGTATTAATGTTACTTTACCAACCGTATCCAGCTCAAATTTGTTGGATAGCAATCTTCTTATTCCGCTCCCATCAAATGTATTCTCAGTATGTGCAACAATTACGGGCTGCTCTTTCAGAAGTTTTGCAACAGTCCCTGCGACATTCTTGAACTCACCAAGAATGTAGTCAAATGAGACAGAAAACACCTAGATGAGCCGCTATATCACCGAGGTACCGGATTTTCTATAAATGCTGTCTAGATAAGTCCATCACTTGATCTCATGCTTTACGAAACTCTAATTTTTCTACTGGGTACTCGACGGGCACTCGTTAGAAAGATCCATCGTTTAAAATGAAAAATAGCCCCTCTGTGACGAGTACCCGTTACAAACAGGCAAAGTAAATTCCATACTATCAACGTAGATTCCCTCTGTGACGAGACTTTCCACGAAGCAGCAGAAGACTAAAGTATGGAGGATGTCACCAGCAGAAGACTTTACATAATTCTAGTATTAGAGTACGCTATATTCTTGGTGCTGTTACTTGTACCAGGTGAGAAGAATTAGTCACTAGTTGAAACTGTCTCTTCTTTAAATATCGTTTGAATTTTTAAGCTGTACACAGGAAGTATGTATGACAAGACTTTTT